TAGTTTCTAACTCCTGGTGATATAATGCACTGCTCTATTAAAAAACGCATACAAAAACTGGCCTACAAAGAAAAAAACAACTAGATTTTCTTTTCAATGATCTTTCAATGATTATGGTGGCGGAGGGGGGGTAGTGGTCAGAAACCAGGAAAGTACACAATTTTATATGGAGATACTCATATACTGGCCTCAACACTAAAAGTGATTTTAAAAAAACCTTAAGTTTATTAGTAATTCTTTGCTGTATTTGCTTCATAGTGCTTTTTAAAGAAAGGAAGCATTCACAGAAGTTAATGTCCCTGGGTTTCCTCTCGTTCCCTGTCTCCCAAGGTCGCTGTTCTGCAGCAGTTGACCCCGTCCTTCTCCTCTGTCCTTCCTCGTCTTCCTGTGCACGCCTCCTCTTGCTGTGCGCGTGGATGTTTAGCGCACACTCCTGTAAAATAACAACAGAATGTTTCGGATACTTTGGTCATTTCCACAATGGCCCGGGAATGCATCAACTTGCAGCTTGTCTCTCTCAGTCGGTCCTGTTTGATGTCTATATAATTTATCCAGACCAACTGTGTCTGACTACTAGTAGGTCTAGTTCATTCACTTGAAAGACTTTAGACTCTTTCGTGGGATAAATGAATCACAGTTTATTTACTCTCCTGGCAATAGATCTTTCAGTTATTTCTAATCATTTGCTATTATTAAAACATGCTGCAATGGATGCCCTTGAAATTGTCTTAGGCACATATGTAAGAGTTCCATTTGGATTAAGTGCCTAGAAGTGAAAATGCTGGGCCAACAATTTATGCGTGCCAAGTTTATTGAGATATTGGGAAAATCTACTTGAAAGCGGCCACCCTGTTATACACTCTTTTCGGCAATACTGGGACTAGTTTTCCAAAACAAATTCACCAGAGATGCTTTCTACAGATTTGAGGGGTTGTTCTAGGGCAGAATTTAACCCTTTCCATCCCAAGTACCCTGGGTTTCTTCAAATCCATTTCCCTGGTTCTGTTAAGTTCTTTTGTATGGCTTTCTTTGAAAAACAAACAAACAAAAAACCAGAGCAAGTATTAAAACCTTGTTGTTCATAGTTATAGAGAATAAAGGGCCCCATTTTCGACAAAACTTTACTTGTATTTAAGCGTTCTTTCAGGTTGAATCTTTTTCTTAATCTGAAGTGAATTCTCTTGCCTTCATTTTCATTATCTGAATGAATAAGGTTTTCTACTTTCTTCCTGACTGACATTTTCATAGACCCTAAGAGGAGGCGTGGAGCCCTGGTGGTTACCTGTTGGCTGCTAACTTTGAGGCCAACTGTTTGAAACCACCAGCCGCTGAGAGAAAGGCAGAGCTTTCTCTTCCAGGAAAGAGTTACCCGAGTTACCTGAACTCACGGGGGCAGTTCTACCCTGTCCTGCAGGGTTGTTATGAGCCAGCATCGGTGAGATGGCAGTAGGTTCATGTATTGGCTTTTTTTTTTTTTTTTTAATAAAGGAGACTTGTTTAAATGCTTTGCACATAAGTTGGACATTTTTTGAAAAACACTTATTTTAAATTTCTTGAAAGGTAATAAAGACAGAATCATTCTTGGTCTGGGCATTAGTGCATCTCCTTATAGTCCTTAGGTTTTAAAAGGCATCTCAGATATCTAATTTTAAGTGTTCATTTCAATGTCACACAACTATAAGTGTTAATGTTCCTTCCAAGAACAACCTCCTGCACTTCACACTGTTGCGGATCCTTCAGACCAAAGCCCACGGGAATAGCTCCAGCTCCTTCTCTGCCACGTTAGGTGGATACAAGCATGATCGACCCTGACCGGCTACGTTACATGCTGATTTTCACCTGCACGCCTCATTTTGAAAAACCGGAAGCAGATCGGCTCTGGTGGTGGCCACTTCGCGTGTCGGAGCAGGACTTTGCCCCACAGGGCCCTTCTCAAGGTCGTGACTTTGGGGCAGTAGATTGCCAGACCCTCTGAGTAGGTTCATGCTACTAACTTTCCAGTAAGTAGTTGAGCCCTTAACCGTTTGTATTAACCAGGCCTCTCCCCCGACCCCCACCTTAAAAAATTGAGCCCTTAAGTATAAATTGAGTTGTGGTAAGAACAGGGAATAATGGTGGGACTTACATTAGTAACTAGAGGTTTTCTAGAAGATCATCTTCAGTTCCTATTTGCCCTTCACATTTGGGTAAACCGTTTTTCTATATTTACTCTCCTTATACTAGAGTAACAAACAGAATCAGGCAGCAGGGCCTTCTGGCCCATTGTGGCTCTTTACAAAAACAATGCATTTAACTGCTAGCTCTTAACATCAGAGACCGGAATGTGCCAATGACTGGCTTGAACCCAGTGCAAAGGCACAGTGCTTGGCAGGAGGAGCTGTCCATACTATATTAGCTGGATGAGTCCCCTCAAGGGGGCCTCATAAGTTATGGTGACAGGACATTTAAGAAATATAAACATATACATATGTATCTGTATATATATGTTTACTGGTGGGGAGGATTTTATTAAAGCAGATGCAACCAGGTTTCTGTTTTGAAAGAACACTCTGGCTGGAGCTTAGAGACTAGGCTGGAGGGGCCCACAGAGGCTCCAGGGGCTCTGTAAGAGACTCTTGTTATACTTCAGGGATGAGAAAGAAGCTTGATTGGGGCTGGGATGACTGCAGTGCGACTGATAGGACTGCAAGGGCGTTTAGGGGGCAAGTTCAACTGGGCTTGATGATGACTGGGCTCTGGGCGAGAACAGCCGGTATCAAGGTTGCATGGGTGTGATTGGGTGTGATTGCGTATAGCTATGGTGCCTAAGTAGGTTCATGGGATTCTCTTCCTAGTTTCGTGTGAATGAATACCAATATTCACTGAAGCCAGGGCCCTCACACCATATTTGGAGGGGTGGGTGGGTGGGAGCCTTACGAATGAATAGCCGCCACAGCTTCCTTAAAGCAGGTAGCAGTTTATATGAGGCAGGCCAAAAATTGTACGCCTCCTTCTGGTCACGATATTCTTACTAAAGGAGATCATTACTGAAGTGAGATGCTTTTTATACTCATTTTAAAGACTGACCAGCTAGTGGCTGGTGCTCACAGGAACCCCCCCTCCGCCCCAAAGGGAGGACCCACTGTAGAGGGATGTTAGTGCGCTTTTACTTGTCCTTGGGAATGTTGGCTGGAAGTACAGGGAAGGATTGTTGTGCGCACTTCTTGAAATGTTTCGTGATTGTTTCCACCAGCAGCCCTCATGGACAGTCTGTACATGGAGGAAGGGTGGCACAGGGGACTGAGTGGGTCCTCAGCATTTTGGGCTCTGTTACAGGTAAACAGTGGTCTTAAAGGGAACCTAATGGCTATGTTCAATGTCGCCTGGGCTGTTAGCAGCAGACTCAGGTTGGAGATTTAGAATCTTAATTGCCATCCTTAAAAAAAAAAAAAAGATCAAAGAATCACCTAACATAAATATAATGTCTGTCATTAGATAGCTCATGTAGCAGATGTAGCCACCTCATAAAGGTTTCTAATCTCCATCATCATCCCGCAGCTAAGCATTTAAAGAACTCTTTGACCCAGGGAATAACACAATCTAGGAATGAAACGACAATCCAGGAATCTCTTCATTTTTGATTATCATCTGTGATCACTGTGGCTGGCTTACCCAGTCATAATTTCTCAAGCAGTTGTCTTCATCAGATTGATGTTTGTCTTATTTGTGGGCTGGTGGAAAGGCTGGGGGTGGAGAAGAATAGATTCAAGAAAACAGCACCCATCTCTTCAGCTGTCGTTGAATGATTGGTGATAGTCAAGAGGAATCACTACCACTGCGCCCTAGAATAGAAATGCTGAACTAAATTTGTATGAATGACCGTACTACTTTCCGGCTCTAAATGTAGTGGGTGAGGGTCACTGGTCAACCTTAATCTTCATGTCTATTTGGAAAGAATGACAAGCAAGGGTGAGAGACATTATTTGGGGGGGTCGTGTGAGGAGTGCCTTAGCAGTCCCTGTCTGAAGTACCCCAGTACTGGCTTTATTGGAAAAGATCTAGTTGCACCATGGTCCTCCTGAGAAAGGTCATCCTAAGACCCTTGTTTGTGGGATGCCCGCAAGCGTGGGCATGACCTCAAGAGCTGCTGTGGCTCTGTGCCCCTCCTGTGCTGTTCCTCTAGCCACAGCACTCCCTCCCCAAGTTGTCCTGGAGCTGAGCTGGCTCCCAGACAGGGAAGCTATTTCTTCTGCTGTCAACACCGTCTCTGTGTTGGGTTGGCTGACTAGAGGTTTTGCCAGATTGGAAGCTCATTCCATGCTCTTGAATTCTATCATGAAAGAAAATCAGCTCGAGTTGATCTAGGACAACAGTTATTAGACCGACCTCAGTTCAAGAAATGTTTAATCCAGCGCGAGCAGCTCAGCTTCCCCCCACCCCTCTTTCCTTCTTGAGGGTCTCTCTTGTGATCACTCCTCTCCTAATAGTTTTAGATGCTGACGGCTGACGTCCTCCATCTCCTGGGGGGGAGGTGGGGCGGGCGGCGGCGGCGGCAGAGGGGGGCATTTATTTGATGTCAGAGTTGGTATCCCAGTTCTTCCAGCTGCACAGTGGCACCTGGCTGGTTGACTGCCTCCAGCAGGCTGCTGGACAGTCAGGTGCTTGAGCCCAGGGGGAGGGCTCTTCGTGTGGACCGTCCGTCCAGGTCTGTGCGGCCTCTCCTTCCAGCTCGCTTGGTCAAAGTCGGTTGCATAGTCTTTGCGAAGCAGGGTCACGTCTTTGAAATGCCACCGATATGTTTAATATAGGAAAGGTGGGTCCGATAAGGAAAGTGCGAGTGACTTGTATCACACACAATATGTTCTTGTTATTCTAGTCGAGTTTCCACAAGCATCAATAGGCGCTGGCAAACCCAGGGACCGTAAATGTCTGCCGCCGACACATAACGACACCCAGGGAAGCAGGGAGAATGATGGCTGATGATTCCTTCTAACTACTTGACCTTCTGACCTCTTCTCTAGATATATGACCAAGATGGGACACTTCAGCACTTTATTGATGGTGGGGAACCTAGTAAGTCGAGCTGGATGAGGTATATCCGATGTGCAAGGCACTGCGGAGAGCAGAATCTAACAGTAGTTCAGTACAGGTAACGTATGCCTTCATTTACACTTCTAGAACTGGAGTCCGTTGGCTTACAAATGTGGGCCTGCTGCTAGTTTTGGAAACAAACAAAATCCCGCAGAAAACTGCAAGGGCTGGAAGACGTTTGTTTTCTTTTTTATGCTGAGTTTCTGAAACTGTTTTACCACTGTCCGTCATTTCTTAAGAATTCAGGAACAAAGGCGGAAGGCCTCTTTCACTCGTGCACGGAACAAAGTTCCTACCACTCCCTCATGTCAGTGTGTGAAGGGGCCAGCAGACCCCTTGATTCAGGGGTCTCCTCTTTGCAGCTGTCAAGTAAGTGATGTGGATCGAGTAGGCTTTGAGCAATCCAGCCCCTGGTGTCTTGTATTCAGGGACCTCCAGGCTGTCCCCTTGAGAAGAGCTTCCTTGGCGCAGAGGGATGGAAACCACGGATGTTCAAAGCTCCCAAGATGGCCCTGTCTGTCTCGCGCTCTCAGAAGGTGCTAGAGAGTATTGGGATTTGGCCCGTTAATGATTCAGAGTGTGTTTCTGGCTAAGAGGCCGATCGGAGCACCGAGAAGGTCCCAGTGTCCTGGGAACAAAGTCACGGTGGAGCCACCGCTCTTCCCCAGTCAGATACTGGAAGCTTCTTGGCAGCTGAGCAGCAAGACGAGCTCTCAGGGTGCTCAGCCACATCTGTTCAATGCACCTGCTGGCCCGAGGTTTCCCCTTCGGCCCAAAGACCGATGCAGGGGAGAGGAGAGGAGAGGGCAGAAACCAATTCAAATAGGGGCAAGGAAACACACACACACACACACACACACACACACACACACCAACCACTAAGTGTCCTTTTTTCGAAATCCCTCGAAAACATGTGCCGTATAAATACATGACCTCAGTTATAAACAACCATGTTCCCTTTAGAATCAGAAGCAACTGCTTCGCTTTATTAGGCACCACAGACACATCAAAGCAGCAGGCCCTGTGCTCGGCCGCTTGGAATCCTGCCTATGGCTATTTATTTTCCTTTCCTTTTTTCTGGTTTTTAAATATGAAGCCATTAAAAAAAAAAAAAAGCAAAACAAAATCTCCCGCACCCCCCTTATTGGTTAAGAAGCTGCACAAATCTGGCTTGGTTTCCAACAGCTCCAATTCAAAAGGAACAGAGCCGGGCAGCACGTGACTCACTGCCTTGCTTCCCTCTGCACTTTCATTTCATTAAAACCAACGGTTCACACGAAGTAGTGCAAGACAGGCTGCGGGGACACTCTGGGTTCCCTTGACTGCAGCTGACTTTGTGGCGGGGGGCTTGTCTAAAACTCTGAGCTAGGAAAGGAGTAAGGGTGTGTTTGTCCACTTAATGAGAGATGGTTTGGCTGTTCGGCAGGGAACTCTGGGGCAAATTCTGGATCCAGGAAAACAAGACAATCCGAAGGTGGGCCTGTGTAAGCCGCTCACGATTTATCTGTCACTATGAAGTGGCTTCTACAACCCCCCTTTCATGATGGCGGCTCCACTTCGAGTCTCGCTCGGCCGATCTGTTTTCGATTACTTCAGCTCTTTAGAAAATGAACTACAAAAACACAATTTAGAAAACTGGCATCCATCACCAGTGACCACGTCCAAGAGTAAGAAAATAGAAAAGTTGGACCCTGAAGAGCCAGCCTAATTTTTATTGTACATGAACGTCCTCTTCACAAAAAGTCAGCTGGTTTAAATTCATTCTGTTATGATTTGTAATATCTAAATGGAATTTTCTTCAAAGCGCCCTTGATTGATTGACCCTTAGCTGAACGTTTTGTTTTTATTTTGAGGCTGACAATAATGTTTGTTGGCATGTGCTCTGCTTCAACTCCGTTGGGACGCTATGAAGCTATCTTTATGAGTCATCCAACCACAATACTAAATACATGTCAGCAAAGGAAATATTATCTGAAAAGGGAAAAATCTCTTTGATGTGCTTCAACATGCAGAGATTTCTGCGAGTTTTGGAAGCTCTGCCCGCTTGTAAGGCATGGTGTACGCTTACACATTTGTTCCCCCTTTCGGCCTTCTCCGTGCCTCGGAAGACCACCCATTGCTCGAAAACAGTTCTTCTCTTTCAGCGGCAAAGTGTGTCATTGGGTTTTAGCACATTCACTTGCCGGGCGCTGTGTTTATATTAAGGGAAGCCAAACCGAGGGATGAAATGTTACAAGGGTGAAGTACAAAGTAGACTCAATTTTTCTCAAGTTAGGAGATGCCAGTGATTTATAGCTGGGCTCCGCGCTTGATTTTTTTTATGTAACAGTGGAAAGAATTAATAAAATGCACAGCTCTAGGAGATGAGGAGGGAGGACGGGTGTGCGAGAGCCGGACAACTGGCTGCAGTTTTTGTCAGATATTCATAGAACGTTGGGAAAAACATTCTGCTTAGCTAGCAGTGCCCTCGTGAGACAGAATGGCAGCAAAGAAGGAAAATAACAAGATAAATGAAATTTTTGCAGCTGCAAGTAAAATATTGAGAATCTGCTCTTTTTTTTATTGATCTTTATGATCCTATTGCCAAGAGCCACTTTGTGGTGACAAAATATGTTGACAAGTGCATATCTCACTGCCATGAAAAATGTGGCAAAGGATTCGCCTTATGTCTGCATTGTTATATAAGGAACAAATTGCTCTGCTCCAGCCAATTCCTTACAGAAAGGCTACATTTAAAGCGCCTCTAAAACCCTAAACACTTTTATCTTGAATTTGAGGCGGGTACTTGTAGCAATTCTTCATTGAGGAAACCAGTCACAATCTCCTCAGGTTTTTTTGTTGTTTTTTTTCAAGTCTGTAGATTTTCCTTTACGCTACCAAAGCTGTTATGAAATATATTTATTTCTTGTTACCTGCCCTGTATCACTTCACAGTGTCATCTTTTAGCCAGCGTGAAGTGCTCCTTTCGTATTTATTGAATTTCCATCTATTTCATGTAACGGAGGATTTTCTTCTCCTTTTCTGTCAAACTGTAGAGGAGTGGCGACGGGGAGGACTGTTGTTTCCCGCAGGTTTCACATCACAAACGGCCTGGCTTTATTGCAGAGTCGGGAACTACCCATGCCAACTTGCAGGAAGACATGTAGTGCCTTTCTCCCAAATAAGAAATCAATAGTATTAAGTTATATGTGGGGTTGGCCCAGCAGTGTCAGCCATTTGCCAAGAGAGAATTTTCTCACTAGCGGGAGAGGGACTTTTTCCCCCATTTTTTTTAAAAATGAACTCTTGGTTTCTGCTTTCTTTCGGGCCAAATAACTGTCTCTTCAGTTGAGAAGCTCTTCGGAGGGACTCTGTGAGCATAAACCCTGAGCTGTTTATCAGGCTGAATTTTAGGCTCGAATTGGTGATCGGAGACAATAAGGTGGGTGTAGATTTCTTACTAATAGAAACTGCCTAGGTGGAGCTGGGCAGAGTTTTTCTGGGGCTATTGAAAACTGTGGATGGGGTCACCTGAGTCCTACCTATTACTAAGCTGGGTTTTCTTTTGTTTTGAATAGGTCGAATATATTCTACCGAGCCTGTATAGATATTCCCAGGGGTACCGAGCTTCTGGTGTGGTACAATGACAGCTATACGTCTTTCTTTGGGATCCCTTTACAATGCATTGCCCAGGATGAAAACTGTAAGAATTTATTTTGGCTCTGAATTCACATCTCAAAATACCTATTTCATAGCTACCCTGTTTAAGAGTGTTCCTTGAAATGCCCCAACGTGCTTCCCTGTGATGCCTAATCCGAGCGTGCACAAGCCTGGGCCCTCGTTTCCTTTTTCCCGTCTGTCTTTTGCTTCTTTCACAGGGTATCTCCATCTGAACAGGCCAGTCCTGCTCCACTGGTTCCCAAATGTCCGTCTCACTCACAGCCCCATTAACGTTTCCCTCTTAGCCATCCTTTTAAACCGCCAAGTGAGCTGGTATCACTGAGCATGTATGCTCTGTCTGGCTCTAGCCTTGACCTTGGGGATTGTAAGAGCAGCTTAAGATACAACTTCAGCTCTGAAGAGATGCACAGTCTCCCCATGCTGTGAGCAGAACTGAAACCAGGGGAAAACAATACCATGTAGGCAAAGGGTACCACTTTCCTTGTCAGTTGGTTCACTACATCTAAGTCGTTACTGAAGTGACAAGTGATAGTAAAAATTCATAGACATATGACTGAGGAATATGTGTGTGTCTTTCTGCATCACCCAGTGTAGGGAGGAACACATCATCTTCAATCTTTATTACGATGACATCCGGTATCTTAAAAAAAAAAAAGGCATGTCCAGGGAAATTTGCAGCAATTTCTCATTTTTCTTCAATAATTTAAAAATATTATAAGATGGCTTTCGGTATTTGGAATGGATTCAGGCTATTTTCATACTCCTGTAAAGACACACAGTCTAGGAAGCCCACAGGGGCAGTCGTCCTCCATCTGATAGGGCCACGAGAAGTCAGCCTGGCTCCATGGCAGGGGAGCTGGCTTCTCTTGGTCAGCAAGGAGCCGTGACTTCATGTTGTCCCCACCTTCCCGGTAGCCTGGGGAATGATGGTGGGCTACAGAAGATGAAACCGAACGAGCAAGGGTGGTTTGTTAATGGCTAAGGAACTTTATTCTGATGATAGCGTTATTGTCCTTTTCGCCACTCTCTGTACTTTCTCATAAATACACACAGTCCCTATAAAAAGTGTTCATATTCTTACCGATCAATATGCCAATAATCAGGTTTTTCTTTTCTATTAGCCTTAAAAAAAAAAAAGATTCCTCAGAGTGTCCTCAGATGATTACTACCATCTTTACTTTTCTCTTACCCTAATCCCAAACCTATCTCAAACAAACAAACACAAAGAACTTTTGGACTTATATAGTGCATTCCTTTTACTTCCCAAGCTTCCACTGGAAAGTTTCTTTTCTGCAGTGATAGCCCTGTTTGAGAGAGTATCTGTTTCCATGGGAGAAAACCTTTGTATGGGACATAAATGTGCGGCCAGTGCTAGAGGCAGACATAGGAGTGGCAGCCAGTGTGCTCTGTCCTGCCCAGAATGGCCCCATGCCCCTTACCCTTCCACCCTGCGACAGTCACTCGAGGTCCACGTATCAGCCCACTGACCTGCTGCCATGGGCCCTTCTGTACATTGGAACCTTCACATGACCTCATCTGCTAACACGTGCAATCTGATCCAAAAGGATTCCAGACATGCTGTAAGAGCCTCTGCTTTGTCCCTTAGTATGACCTGCTGCAGGCCTTGAGGAGGTTGTGTGTGTGTGGGTGTGTTATGGAATGTGTGAGAGTAAACTTGACATCCTGGAGTTCAAACGTAGCTAGCATATAGTCCAAATATACATTCATTCATTATTGAAATATTTTTGAGCACCTACTGTGTGCCAGTATCTTTGCTAGGTGCTGCAAATACAACATTGAATACAGCAGACACCCCCCCCCCCACGCCCTGGTCACATTCTAGTGGAAAGATAATTAAAAATAAGAAATACTGTGTCAGATGGTGATAAGAGGGGGAGAGGTGATAGAGCACAGAAGAAAGTGGATACGAAATGCCAGGATGTGGAAGCTGCAGTTTTGGAGTGTACTCAAGATAGGCAACATTAGAAAGAGATGTTTGTGCAAAGACTAGGAAGTGAAGGAGTAAGCCAAGTGGTTAGGTAAGAGAAGTGTGTTCCATGCAGTTAGGGGCCTGAGATGAGAAAGTTGCTGATGTGTCGTAAGAGCCTCACCAAGGCTCACATGACCCGTGTGTGAGGGGGAGGAATTCACTCAGAGAGGTGGCCAAGGGAGGGTCTCTCCTGGCCCTAGAGGCCACTGGTAGAATCCCGTAGAAGGAAAAAGAGAAGGTTGTCTGCTCCATACAGATTTACAGTCTCAGGAACTTTATAAAAGGTCACTCTAAGATGAAATAGATTTGAGGAGATGGAGGAGTTTGAAGAATTTTGATGAGAAAAGTGGCATAATCCAACCGAAGAAGTTTTAAGAGGATTTCTCTGGCTACTGAGTCAAAAACAGGAAGTGGCAAGGGTAGAACAGGGAATCCAGTTAAAGTCTCTTTCTGGAATCTAGGGAAGAGGTGACAGTGGTTTGGATCGGTGTGGGAATGGTCGAGGTGGTGAGAAGGGTGTGGATTCTGGATATATTTTGAAAATAAAGTCAACAGCATTGGCTGACACATTGGATACTGAGTGAGAGAGACAGAGGGGTCAACTGTTACTCAAAGCTGTTTGGTCTGAGGAACTGGGAGGATGGAATTACCATTTACTGAATTCTGAGACAGAAATGGAAGCCAAGGAATGGCCACTTGGTGGGTGTGCTTCTTACCCTGGGTATGAGTCTTTGAGTAGAAGTCATACATCCACGTCACGATGCTGCTAGTTGGGCAGATGGGGTTGAAGGGTGACCTGCAGGATCTGAGGGTCTAAGGCTGGTTCACAGCACCCGACAATCTGGTCCTCAGACTCAATGCTGTGGTGCCATTGAAAACGGTACTTTCTGGAGATAACATGTAGTTTGCTTCTCCAGTCTCTAGACAGTATCCTTGAGGTTGCTGATTGGAATATTGAATATGCTCTTCCAGGGCTTATGTCCATATCATTTAGCACCTACAGTCCCTGGAAGAACATTCACAAAGCCACAGAGGCTGGAAGTGGTGTGGATACCAGAAGAGCGGTAAGGGCCTCGTGTGGGTTTAATTCAGAGTTTGAAGTAAGGATTGAGGGAAGTTGAAAGGGAATTAAGTCCTTGGCTCAAATGCTCAGCAGTGACAATCTCCCCTTCCTCTAAGGATATTACAGGACTTTTATTTCAGTTCCTGTCTCAAAGTCATATATCTGCCATGTGTTTGGCCACCCAAGAACCTGCAGAAAGTTTCATCAGCTAGTGTGGGGGCGAGATATGATGGTGACTTGTGAGATGGATTCTCATCTGTGATTCACCTAGAGACCTGGGCATGCTTTCTAATGAGGGCTCCAGGACTCCGTGATTGAAGAGCAGGAATGTGTGAAAAGGCCCCCCGGCAGGTAATTTAGCAGATAGCTTTCCACAGCCCTGAGTAATGTAAATCATTTCACCCCGATTAGCATTTCTAAAACACTTTTGATCCCCCAGAGCTCTTTTTATTTACATGATGCAATAAAAACAAACAAGCAACAAGAACACCCCAACTGCCAGGGAGTGGAGATTGAAACTCACTGCCATCCTGCAGGACAGAGAATAGAGCTGCCCCCTGGGACTTCCGAGGCTGTATCTTTCTGAGGTCACACTGCCACCTCTTTTGTCCACAAGCTCTTGGCCACTGTATCAGCAGGGCTCCTTCAGCCAACGGAAGGGGGAAAAAAAGCATGCTTCTGGAGACTGAAGACTTACTGGATAGAAGGCCTCCACAGAGTTTCTTGACAGTACTGTGCCCACAGTAAATGACTGGATAAATACTGAGAATTAAAAATGTAATGTGTGTTGTGGTGAATGTATGTGACACTTCAGTCATTGGAGGTCAGTAACCTTCATCACATCCACCATGTTGTACCACTATCACCAAGTGCTCAGAATTTTTGCTGCCATTATTTGGAGGGATTAAGTATGCCAGTCAAATTTTTATTTGAAATGTAATCGATACTCGGACCAAGGTTTTCAAGGAAAATATGATTTTTCTTAGTGAATAATACTTATTAAGCACTTTCATTTATAAAAATATACATTTCTTCCCATGGTTCTTTCAACACTGAAAGTACACATTTCCTATTGAGTGTGTGCAGCGGCGTCTGACTTCAGTTGCTGGCCCCTCGGTCCGGGCCGCGAGGCCCTCTGCCCACTCACGGCCTGGACGAGCCCCTGAAAGCTGCCACAACTCCAAGAGAAGACAGCGTTCACACAGGCATTTGGGTTCTGGAAGCAATTCCTAAGTTATTTTCTTTTTAAAAAGTCATAGTTATAAATGTAATAGAGCTCCAAAGAGAGCCACTCCGTCCACTGTGGGCCTTTCAAAGGAGCCTGAAGGAACGCCTGTGTCGACAGATGGCATCCGCAAGAAGGAATGAGATTCCCCAAAGCTTCCAGGGGGGGATTAGCTCCTGCAGAGTGTAAAGACCATAGTGTATTCATATTCATTTCAGAGGAAATTAAAAAAAACCCTGGGAATAAATGTCAAACAAGTCTTCCTGCTGCTTTTTCTGTCCCCGCATATGACGCTGAGGTAGCAGAATGTGAAACTAGATGGCTTCTCAGGAGGTTCTGCACTGGAATAGACCCTGCCTCCAGGAGGCCTGCCTTTCCCTTTGGATTTTAAAGAGCACAAAATAGGAAGGGGCACTTCTGCAAAGGACCCCTCACACCCGAATCCCACCAACCAGGAGACCACAGCCCAACTCAAGCTTCATACCTGTGACCTTTACAGAGATCCTAGCCAGTTTCATCCTGCACGTGCACTAGATCGCTTTGGGCAGGGGCTATGGGAAGCCTGGGGACAGGGTACAAAATCCTAGTCCTCATGCTTGTGCTCATGAATTGGGTCTAGAATAAGTCAAATACACACAACTACAACACAACACACATGCAGTGCCGTGTGAGCTTTACCAAGACAGGGAGAATACCATGGGATGAGGTGAGAGGGCGACCACTTCAGCTCAATGTGCAGCCCAG